GCACGCTTGCTTCACAAAGTTAGGGTTTTCGTAATGTTACAAAAAACTCTATAGACATGTGAATCCATCAATACAACTATTCTCTTCTTCAAAACCAAACCTTACACATAATGAACAAAATTCTCTTTATGAGAGTATCCCCTGTTGTCGCGGGTAAGCAATACACATTTTCTTTTCTTCATAAAGAAAACTAAATCAATGCGGGACTTGCTTAAAATTCTTTTCTATTCGCGTTTTCGTCGATACCATATATCTCATTTTCAAACATTATTTCGACGTTATCAGAAACAGTTACAGTTACACGGGAAACAATAACAAATAGGTAATAAATTCAATTCGAAATGTTTCATTAAGTAAAAACAATATTAAAGGTAGACCTTAACATTAATTGCTTTTCTGTTTTAACATTGGGATTATACTTGGCAACACTACATATTTACCTTTTTTCCTATGCATATGAAACTATATTGAATTATAAAATTGTTAATGCAGAGCCCCAGCTGACTAGAGAGCATACGCTAACCCTAGGACTACAGGGACCTAATATATACACCGTATAAAGAACATGCATCAAGACCACGTGAACTCTTATTAAAAGAAAAAAATAATTTATGTCTCTTCTTGCACTTTCAAAGTGATTAACGTATAATCAAATATTTCCAATTCTAGAACGGATACTAGAAAAGGACAGGTCAATTCGTGGAGCCACGGGAGGGTCCTCGGCATATCTCTTGGAAAATGAGGATGCAAAATTCTGCTCTTGTAAAACTAATGTTAATTGTAGATGGTTGCATCGAAAATACCTTTGGGTACGGAAGAAAACCTGCAACAAGTCCACCAACAGCTTAAAAAATAGAACATATAGCAAAGCCAAATTTCTCCTCAACCGCACTCCACCCAACAGCTTTGCCGGCAGCCACACCCTCCTCACTCTTATTTGTAAATAAATGTTCTCAAAATACATTTATTCAACTCTCTCCTCTAATCTTCATATTCTTAAGTCTGATGAGGAAATTATCTCATGCCAATCAATTACTGCTAACGGCTTAAGAATACCCGTGCGTTTTCCAACTTTCTCAAAATCCTTAAGCCAAGCGTACAATGAGACGCAGAGCAGCACGGAGTAGGACAGACACAGGGTTGGAGCAGCATAAGCAATTTAATGTGCGCCTGACTTGACATGCACGTACACACAAGATGCAATTGCACAGATCAACGGAAAGCATTAGCCGCATTTATAAGGCAGTTCATACCAACGTTTATAAAACAATATACACCAAACCACCTTTAACGTGTGTAATCTTTTAAAGGCTATGCTCCCTTCGTGGATGAGTGGTATCACAGAGCATGTGTTTGCGGACTGCTTCCAAGTTCCTCGATGAACGTCAATGAGTACCGACAGTGACTTGCTGTGGAAACTGCGTTTTGAAAGACTGTGCGACGCAGGCCGACATAGGTTTGCATCTGCTCTGTCCTGTCTAGAGCACATTTGAAATAGTGCAATGCAGTCTTCTGCTCTACTCTGTGATGCGTCGCCTGTTTCACTTCCGTCAAACTTACTCAAACTTACTACCACCTTTCCAAACCCAGCCCAGTGCGGGTCGCCTAAGCAACACTAGGTAAATCTACACTTATAATCCCCTGGCAAGTGCTAGCCTGTGTGACATCTCTTGTTCACCTGCACAAAAGATCCACAAAAATCATAGAGGAGTATTTGGTAGCTCACTTGTAAATTTGTTAATATATGAACAGGATTCTTAGACAGAATACACATACAAAATCAGTCCTATTGATCCCACATGGCGGCTACGTGTCACGCACATGCCTGAATGTCGCCATCGCACTGCAAAGGCTATGTCAGATTACCACAACCATCCATGGTGGCGTACCGCTAAGGGCGGTGAGCCAATAAAGCATACTAGGTTTGATGCTGACATGATCTCATTTACGAGTAACGAAATATTAAATAATGACAACATGAAAGGGCCTTAGTATACAATTTTCACGAGAAAGGAATAACACAACGTAAATGCAGAACATCTTGATTTCTAACTTGCATAACTCCATTTGTTTTGGTGATACAGCGATTAATAAATATTACTTACAGTTCATGTGTGGTTAGCTTTGGGAAAGCAAAGCAGAGGAAAACGATGTGTGGTATAGATCAGAAGTAGAAACGGAGATTGGACTGAAAGAACTTGGAAGTCGGAGATGGAGACAGTGCAAAAAGGGTGTCTGGAAACGGCAAATAGCTATGTAAAAGGATAGCATTGTGGGCCACCTCGAGAGTATGAGGGGATCTGATATACCAACAGGAATCGATTGATCGGCCCGGCTGCACAAGCACTCCAATGAATAAACAAACAGGATGGATGCGTCACATTTCGACACAGGTATTCGTTTTCGGTGGGGGCAACAATGGGCAGTGTACATGGCGAGGCACGCAAACTCAGATACAGAACCGAGCATGAAAAAAGATACTTACACGATCTCACAGGCA